CACTTTAATTCCTCTATTTCTGCTAGCCTACCGAAGTTCTGAACATGAAACGACCAGTTGTACTCCATCCATGATGATTACTAAAAGGGAGATGAAACTTCCCCATGATCTTCTTTTTGGAAGGCAGCCTCCTGGTGAAGAAAAGGACCGTACACCTCCCACGTACATACAGAACTTAAGACAAAGATTAGAGAAGGTATATGAATTCGCTCGGCAATGTTTGAAAGTTAATAGTGATAAAGCAAAAACTAGAATCGACATTCATACCCCAGAGCTCCGCGGATCACAATTTGAGTAACGCTGATAAAGGGTATTAGTTAACCGAACACAGTCGTCAATATTTGTTATTTCACAGAATAACTTCATGTCATCGGCATATAAAAGATAGTTCACTCGGATTATATTTGCAATATCATTGATAAACACGTTAAATAAAAGAGGCTCCAAGTTGCTTCCTTGGGGTACCCCAGAAGAAGCTAGGTATTTTACAGATTTAAATCCCGAAAATGCCACATATTGTCTTCTATTCGTTAAGTACGACTGGATTATGGGAATCAAACTATTACAGGTAATCTTAATCAATTGATATACAATTCCGCTATGGTTTTAATAGAGGTAATTAACCGGTATAAACTTTCAAGACAGTTATATTACAGATTAAATAGACGATAATTCTGAAGAAAGTTATTAAGATATTGAAACTGAAGATAATGAATACGAAGAAAATTACAATTTTACAGATCGATCAAAAATCAGAAAACCAGTAAGAATAACATGAAGATTATTTACTGATGGTAGATTTTTCTTTTCCTGTCAAATCTACCTCGGCTACAAACATCGTTAATAATACAAATTTTTTGATACTCAGTAAATTTTAGATCTACTAGTTGTTTAAAATACAAAATTGTGTTTTAGACAAAAAACTATGTAGAATGTCTTAAGAGCAGTTACTATAACTACCTATTAAAATCTAAATTCGTAATATAAATCCTAATTAGTTAGTTTATAAGAAAAATACGGATTGTCCGATCAATTAACCTAATCTCAAGAAATATTATACAAGGGTTTATAATATGTTTCAAGTACAATCTATAAAAAAATGTCTTGCGAGTGAGTTAACCATATATTTAAAAAATTCATTTTATCGATTTTTTTAAATTTTTTATTAATGAAAAATGTTGTTATTCAAGAATATATTGAATAATATTACAAAAAAGGAAGATTATATACAGGGTGGGCAACCACTAACGCCTCCTAGTGTATAATAGAAATATTTTTTTAATTATTGCCTTTTCTGACAAACATCTCGCTGTAAAAGCAAGTTAAAAGAAAGGAATTTACAAACCGAGATGTTACCAGAAGAAAACGAGGGCAAAATTAAAATAATTCTCTCAAATTATATTCTATTTCCAAAAATAACAATTTTAAATTATATTTTTAATATATTTTAATATTGAAAATTGAAAATATTTAAAAAATTTAAAAAACTAATTTATTATAATTTATGTGACGATATCTACATGTATATGGTTAACAAACGCACAATAAATCCGATATCCCTTGCTTTTTGATCAAATTTAACTATGTATATAAATAGATATAGGCACAGTCTAAACAAATGTGTGTAGAAATATTATAACTAGATATAAAACACTTTACATATGTGCCCAATAGTACATGAGTTTTATTTATTTTTTAAAACTACCTTTTAATGTATAAGTATATTCATATTGACTTACAATGTTTAAATATTGTTCAATTGCTTTTAAAAGACAAATATAATGGGTAGATACTGTAGATAGTGTGGACTGATATGTAGACAGATACATGCAATTTATATATTATTATATAATATAATTTTTGCAATGATACTTTTAGAAAAAAAAGTAATTTATATTTCAAAAAATTTAATAAATTTTATATTAATGAGTCTGAAGATTAAGATATATTTCATGTATAGGATGTCTGTCCGCAAAATATGTGTAGTTACAAAAAAACAAAATACACGAATACTACCTGATATTGACATTTTTCTTCATGGTTTAACTTAAAAAAAAAAGAAACAATAAGTGTAGATACACTAAAGTTTAAGTTCACAAATTAGGAAATCCTCATGATAGACAATAAAAAATCACTACACATGCCTAAATAGAAAATTTCTTAGGTTGGCAACATTGGGCATAATACTTTATACTCTATCAAATAATTATCCTTGATAATAAAAATCGTATCCAGAAAAAATATTTTCCATACAGGATGAAATCTCAAGTTACTTTTTTAACTGTGTACATAATTCGTTAAAATAAACGTTTTTTCATATATCTTCTTCAAAAAACTTAAAAATCTAAATCCCGGCCTGGACTTGTGTATAAAAAAGTAATCTTAATAAGAAGCCTGTTTATGTTTTAACCTTTTTTACATTTTCTTTCGGTTTTTTGTATGATTCACGATACACCGTGTATCGGTTATTGTAATTCAGTCGCGTATGATTCCAGAAGCGTGTTTATCTAAAGTGGTGAATTTAAATTGTTCGGTATGGTAAATTATGACATTAATAAACTTGTAGTTATAATAATATTGCTTTGAACTAACTATAATAAAAAAGACAAACACAACATGAAGCTCCTGCTTTTCAATAAATGTTGTAGAACTCAACAAACTTTAGGTTACATGAGTATTAAGATAAAAATGATAAACGAAGTAGCTTGTCACCATCATGGTAGAATGAAGTAGAGACACTATTTTGCGATATGATAGATGGACTCACTTCAAGTGATGAAAAAGAATAATCAAAATGGCTACTTAGAGTCGTACTTTTGATTATTTGAAGTCAATTATTTTATATTTAAAGAATGACGGAATGAAAATGCTTCTATATCATTTAAATGCGCTATATTCTAACCAAAACTGACTAGCTACACTAGCTTGAATTTGACATATGACGTAAACGTGCAATGAAATTTTATTATATCTTAATACCCGTCACAGTGAATGAAATAAAATAAATATACCAAACCTATTTACAAGCTTTATTTCTGCCGAAAACTTACCTCAATTTCTTAAAACATATTCTGCTTTCCACACAACAGCACAATGCACAATAGAAACTTCCATATACTTTAGAATATAGAGTGGTCCCTGGGAATAGAAAAAATACAATTAAAAATAAAATAACTACATAACCCATCTTATTTATTTTAACTTCTTCTATCTTCTTCTATCTTCTTCTATCTTCTTCTATCTTCTTCTATCATCTTCTATCTTCTTCTATCTTCTTCTATCTTCTTCTATCTTCTTCTATCTTCTTCTATCTTCTTCTATCTTCTTCTATCTTCTTCTATCTTCTTCTATCTTCTTCTATCTTCTTCTATCTTCTTCTATCTTCTTCTATCTTCTTCTATCTTCTTCTATCTTCTTCTATCTTCTTCTATCTTCTTCTATCTTCTTCTATCTTCTTCTATCTTCTTCTATCTTCTTCTATCTTCTTCTATCTTCTTCTATCTTCTTCTATCTTCTTCTATCTTCTTCTATCTTCTTCTATCTTCTTCTATCTTCTTCTATCTTCTTCTATCTTCTTCTATCTTCTTCTATCTTCTTCTATCTTCTTCTATCTTCTTCTATCTTCTTCTATCTTCTTCTATCTTCTTCTATCTTCTTCTATCTTCTTCTATCTTCTTCTATCTTCTTCTATCTTCTTCTATCTTCTTCTATCCTCTTCTATCCTCTTCTATCTTCTTCTATCTTCTTCTATCTTCTTCTATCTTCTTCTATCTTCTTCTATCTTCTTCTATCTTCTTCTATCTTCTTCTATCTTCTTCTATCTTCTTCTATATTCTTCTATCTTCTTCTATCTTCTTCTATCTTCTTCTATCTTCTTCTATCTTCTTCTATCTTCTTCTATCTTCTTCTATCTTCTTCTATCTTCTTCTATCTTCTTCTATCTTCTTCTATCTTCTTCTATCTTCTTCTATCTTCTTCTATCTTCTTCTATCTTCTTCTATCTTCTATCTTCTTCTATCTTCTTCTATTTTTTATATTTTTCTATTTTTTATATCTTTTTATGTTTTATCTTCATCTTCTTATCTTCATCTTATCTTATCTTCTTCTCTTCTAATCTTATTCTTATCATCTCTTTATCTTCTGTTTTTCCTCTTTTTATTTTTTTCTTGGTTTTTTAATACATAACCGTTTTGTAACCTTTTATGTAACATTTATAACTTGTTTCAGAAACATTTTCACTGAAATATTTCAGAAACTTGTTCTTGAAATGTTACTCGTATGTATTTGAAACGTTTGAAACATTTCTAAAATACTTCCGAAATAATGTGTGCTGCATGTGGTAACGTCGAGCAAAGCGTTGTGTTGAAGTGACTACCAACAACTTTCAATAAATTATTTTAATTACTCAGGACCGTATTGGATACATTTTGGAATAAATTAATGTAAGTTTCTTATTTTTGAGTTATTTTGAAAAAACTTATTTGAAAAGTGTTTATTTTAATGACGTTTATGCACAGTTAATAAGTATTAAATTATGATTCACCCTGTATTTAATGACATTTTTGATATCATAAAAAAATCATGGAATAAATCAGTGGAATATATTTATGTCAACCATTTAAAATTGATATTTGAAAATGTTTTTTTTTTATGGATGCTTAATGTAAAATGCAAATGCGCGAATAATTTAATAGTTAATTAGGTAGGTATTTTAGACATCCTAAATACAAGAAATATTGCTTTTCAGCAGGTATTATTATTATTAAGTATCTTAAAGAGCAAGCAAGCTGTTACTTGTTTAATACAAACTAGATAAAAAAATATGGAATACAATAATTTGACAAAAAATATTTCATCTTTATTTTTTTTTATTTCCCATCAGTACACTGGCCCAAACTGCGTCTTACTAGTTTACCAAAATTCGACAAAAATATGTATCGATGATTCTAGTACCACTATATGGTCGATATGGTCGTTTGTACAAATAAACTATTATGTGCTCAGACGTTGTCTTCTGTTGATCTTATAGCTATTTGTTGTTTCTGCGCTAATACAGTTATGACATTAGCTATGGCGTCTAGTTTTTTGTCCATTGTTCCCAACTGAAACAAAACAAATTGTTTTACAGGTTCTTTTAAAATAATCCTTTTAAAAATATTCATTTTTAAAGGAGTGTTAAAATGCAACTTTAAATTTTATCAGAAAGTAAAAGGGCATTTTATGATGAATTTTTGATTGAAGAACTACTAGAAAATGTGGACTGTACATAACATTTTTAATTTTAAAACAAAAATAAATCCGAACGGAGAATCATAGTAATAAAAGTATAAATAAAAATCTGATGTGTCCAACACATGACTTTCCTATCTAGTTTTTATACTGAAAAATTTAAATTTAGCACTTTTCCATTACGGTCCATTTTAGAAAAATCATGTATAAACAAAAATTATAGAGATCGATATCGCAAACAATCTTTAGTTCAACAATTTTCATAAAAATCAGAATTTTGCACATTTTGTCAAATTTCTCGGATACGGACCATTTCAGGAAATTTTAACATAAAACAAAAATTATAGATAATAATATTAGAAGTAACTTTTATTTGAACAATTTTCTTCTCTAAACATAAATAACAGATATATTCCATAAAATATAAAAACGGCCTCCCATAAAGTACCCCCCTAGATGTTCCGACTTTGTCCAAAATCTTATCATTTCACTTCAGGCCGAAATAAACCTTAAGTTTAAAATTTAATGTTTTTTTTCTTTATCCGTTTTTGAGTTTTCTTCAATATTCGAAATTTACACATTTTCTCAAATATCTCGAATACGGTCCATTTTAGAGAAATTATGTATAGAATAAAAATTATAGAGAATTATATTACAAACAACTTTTATTTGAACAATTTTTATAAAAAAATATTTTTTTTACATTTTGTCAAATTTCTCGAATACGGACCATTTTAGGAAAATTTTGCATAAAACAAAAATTATAGATAATTATATTAGAAGTAACTTTTATTTGAAGAATTTTCTTCTCCAAACGTAAATAGCAGATATATTCCATAAAATATAAAAATGACCACCTATAAAGTACCCCCCCAGATGTTCCGACTCTGCCCAAAATCTAATCAGCTCATTGGACGCTGAAACAAAGCTTAAGTTTAAAATTTGGTGTTTTTTTGTGTATCGGTTCATGAGTTATGCGTTATACAGACACACACACACACACACACACACACACACACACACACACACACACACAGACACACACACACACACACACACACAGACATCATCGCGAAAATAGTCAAAACGGATTCAGGGGACCTCAAAACGTAAAAATCCATCGAAAACTCGAGGTCGAAAAAAATCATGATTCCTATACTTTCCTTATATCTGTATACAGATAGGAAAGTAAAAATTCAAAAAAGTAAATTATTTGGTTATTGGTTATGTTATTATTCCTTTATTTTCTTTTCCATTCTATTCGCATGTGTACCTTATGTCAAAGCGAGTGTCAAAATTAAATTAAATGAATCTTTAGGTGGTGCCCTCGACATTTGAAAGAACTGCGTTAAAATAATAATTAAATAGCTATTAAATAGTTACCTGTTGCTCTACCCTGTATAATCTAGCTCCTACTGTCATTGGTTTAACGTTTCCTACTCGATCAATTCCTGCTAAGTAACTTCCTGGTTTTCCTAATGTCTGATCAAGCCTTCGTTGCAGTTCCTGCAAATACAAAATTATAAGATTTCCTTTTTCACGAAGTTTTGAGAATGTCATTGTTCTTGTAATATATAAAAATATGTATCGCGTATATATATATATGTAAACTTTTACATATTTCTGTTAATACTGTCGTGTAATCACCTTAAGCAAGACAAAGACAAATGCGTTTCTTCGAGAAGCTACCAGAGAAATCGTTACGCGACGGCTGGGTCATAGAGGAAGAAATTCCAGAGATTCTAGAACGTCGAAAATGTATTAGTGTAGATATGGCTTTATATAAATAACATCTGCTAGAGCAAACGAATGGTCTGTAAGGAAAATAGCGAGGAGACACTTTAGTCCTTCAGACTATACCTGTGGAAGATGACTTTAAACAACTTAAAAAGAGACTTAACATGAGATATTGCCACAAACACCTACACCATTTGTATCAATCACAGCTAAAGAATAGTAAATAAAAACGAGACGAGACCATTCAAGAATATAAAGTGGATATTGCCAGGTTGGTGCGATTTGCCTACCCATCAGTTTCAAAAAACATAATGGAATGTTTGGCAGTCCAACCATTTGTTGATGGACTCCGTGACTACGAGAAGCAGAAAACACTCCGCTTAGTCCGTTACAAAACATTGGTAGATGTCTTGTCCGCTGCTCTAAAGTATGAGGCAGCTACGCAGGCTTCTGGAACTTTACCAACTGGTTAACATAATGAAGAGCTTTACTGATAAAGAGATGAAGACAAAGACCATCAGGTGCTGGAATTGTACGCAGTTTGTGCAAAACGCCCTAGGGTCCCAACAACTGAAGATAATACGCCGCAGGAAAACTAGAACGGGTCAGCCTAGAGGGGACAGCCTCGACCTGAATCAGTTTTAAAGACCCTCCCTTACTGAAATGACATGATAATAATGAATATGAAGATGGCAAAGTAAATGGTGAAAAGTATACTCTGTTGGTGGATACTGAAGCAACTAGGGCAATTATACGACCAAAAACCATAAATAAACGCAAAAGACTTCTACCAACAAGATTGCGACTGCGGACTACAACAGGTGAATATGCATAACATCTATCGGGAAATCCAGAATCAATTAGAAATTGGTACAGAAAAGTTTACTTATACTGGTATTGTCGCTGATATCGAAGATGTTATACTTGGAATGGATATAATGAATTTACATGGTTTCCAGTTAGACTTTAAAAACAGAGTAATCGAAGTTGGTGCCAAAAAGGTATTCCTACATTAATATGTGGTCAGTACTGTTCAAGTAACTGTATAGAAAGACACTGTGGTACCTGGTAAAAGTAAAACCATTATAGTAACACGGCTTCAAGAAACTATGGAAGAAGGAACACCTATCATGATGGAACCTTGGAACCACGATAAAGAGGTTGAACGAAGAATTCTTATCGGCAAGGGGTTGGTCACGACTGCTAAAGAGATTCCAGTCCGTATTATAAACGTTAATGATCATCATTACCATCAAAAAAGAGACCAGAATTGGAACTTGTGTACCAGTAAGTTTTATAATTCGTCTGACAACAACTTCTGATAATTCCAACGAAAAATTTGAGCCTAAAACCTAGAAGAATTATTGGAGAAAAAGGTCGCGAACAAGTTGCAAAAGTAACTTCTGACGAAAGAGGCTAACTGCTAACAGTTTGCTGTGCAGATAATGCTTGTGGATCATATTCTTCGTTGTCTCAACTCTTTTCTCCAAGTTAGGCAACAGGCTTCCTCATCCATGTGTCTGGATGACCAAACAAAACTTTTTGAAGTAACTGCAACACTCTGTCTTCACACACTTCTTACAAGTTTCTACTGCTGAGTCGAACAATCTTTAGACCTTTGAATGGATGATTTGACTGGAAAACCAAATATGGAGAAAAGCCGATAACAACTAAAGGCATCCCAAGGCTTCTGGGGAAAGCTTATCCAAAAACATTTACCCCAACAAACATAATAAGCGGTTTTATAGTGATTGGAATCCATCCGTTCAATTCAAATATTTTTGGAGATGATGAGTGTTGCTTAAGTTTGCTAACGGATAGGCCAAACCACTGGTTAAGTTGTTATTCACTTCTTCTCCCCCACTACCACCCTTCCATTCCTTATGCCTTCCCCTTACTTCTTTTATTTTTTATTAGAAATCAAAAATAAAGCAAAAAGTAACGCTTTTAATCACTTACATAAATTCGTTTTTAGTAATGTTTTTTTTTTTGTTTTTTTTGTTTTTTTTTTTTTTTTTTTAATTCTAGAAATCCATCTTAAATCGACGAAGACAAAAAATTGCAAGAAAACAAAATTTTATTTTTTATGAAAATCTGGAATACTACTCCGTTTAGCGATTATAGCTTGGTCGGGAAGGGGTACTATAAAAATAAATATAGTAAAAAATATATAATTATTTCATCGTGGCACCCTACGACTATTTTATAAAATATATGGTGACCTCCTGTAGCATATATTTAGTAAAAAAATACCTGCGGCGGTCAATGTGTTAAACCAAGTTGACCTGGCTACAATAATTAATGAGGCACAACCTCTCTGCCGGTTACTGAATTTTGATGATGAAGTCGGTGTTATACATTTTTTATTTTTAGGCGTTTTTAACTCTGAATTCCTTGCGCCTGGTTTTCGTTAATCAACGTCTATGTTGCGCCATTTTGTTAATTGGAGTCGCGTAAAAATTTAACATTCCAGTTTTAATCTCCAGAATTTTTTTTTATTGTAAGAGGGAAATGACATGCACAACAGTTGGATGGAAACATATATTTTTACACTAAAGGTGGATGAAAATAATACTTAAAATATTAAAGACGTGCAAGAGTGTTATTGTGGTATCATATTTTCAAAGTTATTTCTTTAAATATGTGTTAAACCTTAGAAAAACGAAACTGGAGCTGTAATATACATTGATGTACCTTGTATTTGGTTATAGAATAGGTGAGCTATTTTAATTTATAATAATAATTGTTAGATATTTTTCGTAATTATCAGATGGTAATAAATTTGGTTGAAATAAACGGTAAGGGCGAGCATGACAAGGCTAACTGGGGAACACATACGTTCTGCCTTCTAGATACTTTTTAGCGATATTGACATTGTTTTGAAGCATATACATTATATCTTTGTTTTGAAGCAATCAACCATCAATAAGAAAGAAGTTGTGTTATGTTCACACTGACAAAGTTGGTAGCACTGGTTGTCAGTCTAGATCAGGGCTTGTGTTAGGCATAACGTCACGAGGCCATTCCGTATTGTATATTAGATTTAGTGTTTGTTGTAACCAGCTATAAAGGTGTTAATGTTAATAAACCGTTCCAGGAATCCACTACCTTTTATTTGGTGTATTTAACAATACACAACATATTGGCGACGACTAGGACTGGACGTTTGAAGTGCTGAACCGGTAAATACATAAAGGTGAAAATCGTAAGGAAAATAACGTACGTACGTGCCATATTTCATGTCATTCGATTTTCAATCGATTGCTTACTTGCTGAGTAACAAGGTTAATCGATTTGACAAGTGAGGTTAGGAGAAATGTCTGTGTCAATCCAGACAATTTTAAACTAATAACAAATGACCCTGATAGGAAATATTCAAAGGTACTCCAGAGGAATTTGAGAGTTATCTCGACAGAATAGAACATTTGTTCAGATTAACGTAACCGAGGAGGAAATGAAAGTGTCATTGTTCACAACTTTAGCGGGTTCAGTAGTTTATAGAACTCTTAAAAACTTAGTTGCTCCCAGGAAACCGTCAGAGTTGACCTAAGTGCTTAAGGACCATTATTTTCTACTAGTGTCAGAAATTAGTGAACGGTTCATGTTCAATAAAACAAATTAAAAACCAGATAAAAATATAACAGGTTACATAGAAGAACTGCGTATGTTGGTCAATTCCCGTAATTTTGGAGCGTTTTTGGACGATGCCTTGCGTGATAGGTTTATGTGTGTATCTGTTCTGAAAGTACTCAAAAACGTTTGTGATCAGAAGTAAATCTCACATTTCCCAAAGCATGTGGTGTGGTCCAGTCCTGTGAATTAGCTGAAAAACAGGTGAAAATGTTGTCCAATACAAGAACAGAATTGAATTTTATAGGCAACAGAGGAATGATCAGGGTAAGAACAAACTGTTAACAATAAATACTCATGTATGATTTTATACATTCACGAGACTAACCTATGGGATTTCATCAGCTCCGGCCATATTTCAATGCATCCTGGATCAGATCCTGAAGGGTTAGAAAGGGTTCACTGTTATTTGGATGATATATTAGTAGGTGGAAGTTCAAAGGATGTGTCAACAGTCTGTGTTAACAGTCTGTAGAATCTGTATTGAGTAGACTTAGTAAGTATAATGTCAAAGTTAATCTAGGCAAATCGAAGATGAGGTGGAGTATTTAGGACACCAATTAGATGGAGAAGGCGTGCATCCAACGAAAAAGAAAGTGCAAGCTATTCGAGATGCACCTAAACCGCAAAATACTACTCAGTTGCGTGCATTGAGGCTGTTGAATTATTATAGTAAATTCATACCGATGTCATCTTCACATCTGAAACCACTTTATAGCTTATTGAAAAAATGGGTTGAGTATAATTTTGATGGTAATTGTAAAAGGGCCTTTGAAACAAGTAAAGAGTTAATAACTCAAAATCAAGTACTTATACATTATGATACTTCAAAAATTATAGTTGTAAGTTGTGACAGTAGTGCATATGGGGTTGGTAGTACTTTAAGCCACCGAATTGGCAAGATTGAAAAACCAGTATTTTTTGCATCAGGTACGTTATCAAAGGCTGAGCAAAACTATTCACAGCTGGAAAGAGAAGCTCTAGCAATAATACTTGGGGTTAGGCGTTTTCACAAATACATTTATGGGCGTGTCTTTTACTTTAGTATCAGATCATCAACCTCTAAAAGTGATCTTTAATCCAGATAGAAATATCTCAGCGATATCGGCATCCAGGATCATCAGATGGAATGTAATTTTATCTGCATATGATTATAAAATTAAATATAAAAAAGAGTGTCAGTTGTATGAGGCAGATATGTTGTCAAGGTTGCCATTGTCAGATGTAACCGAGGTTCAACATAAATAAAAGCAGAAGGAAAAATTTTGTTGTCGATGTAAATTGTAAATAAATAATTGATTTCCCAATCAATACATTTTTTTAATTTTCCATACGAAAACAGTAAAATGATTTATCACATTTCTGTATTCATATTTATTTAGAGTCGGCCCTGTTCCCAATAAACTCGCACCATTTGGGATATAACCTAACGTGAATAATTGAACACATTTTTCATCGCCGACACCTGTGTAATCTAAAATATAAAATGACACTGGATAAATCCTCATATCTTTTCGTGTCACTCTTCATTTTTTTACGTTATCGTTATTTACTCAAATCCTTCTCACCTTTATGCGGACCATCATGTTGAGATGACCCTGACTGTATTGTTCGATGACGTCACGAACATCGTACGGTTTCCGCGCCTGTTGAAACTTCCTCCGGGCTACGAAATATTTGATTTTTCGAATGGCTCGTATCGCGTTTTTGTGTGCCTCCGTTAATCTGAAATGAAAAATAAATTGGTAATCAATCATACTAAAAAAAAGAGGCTTCCAATAAGAGATTATAATACAAGGTGTACATTAGGGTTGCTACTTTTTTGAAAAGTGAATAAAGGACTACGAATGCTGGCTGACAGGGGTTCCGGTATACAAAAAGTCCTCATCCTTCTAGTAAACTTCTAAAAAAAATGTCCTTAGCTTAAATATTTTTGTACAAACCATGTCCCTTCCAAAGATATGTGCTGTAAAAAAGACATTTTTCGTAAAAAAGGATATTTTAAACTTTAAAAAGTCATAAGGACACTTTGCTTCAAAAAAGGACTGTCCTTTCAAAAAAGAACAGGTGGCAACCCTAGTGTACATCTATAAATTGACACAGTTTAATAATTTATAATTCGAGAACATTGAGGTAGTAATACTAATTCAATGCTCGAGAACGAAGAAAATATATTGAAATGCAGTTTTTACTAGATTTCCAAAATGTACTTTAATTTTTTGTTGATATTCTTGCCACTAAGTTTTTTTTTTGAAAAGTGCAGGAAAAAAATGATTTTTTTAACCAGAATTGTTAATTTACTTTAATTTTTAACGTCATCAGAAATGTCAATTCTTCTTCTTTGCAAAAATGTATATATTATTGACATTTACTTAAGTTTTTTGTCGAACATCAACTTTTTATAAAACCATGTCAATAACTTCACATTTTATCAGTTTATAACTTGATACTTGTCAGTTTGTAACTAGATCTTTAATGCTCGTGATATATGATATCTAATACCTCTCACTTCTTGCCCTGTTTACAAATGTTGGAGTTTTCCCAATATTTTGCACAATAGGGTTCTAATTAAAAATATATTCTAGAAGTTGCTCACCTTCCTGATTGGTGTCGTTGCTTCCTCATATGGTGCTGTGCGCGCCTCGATACTTCTGGGGGTGGTACAGGCCCATCCCCGGTGAAGTAACTAGAGGCTGTTACTATGTTTTGTCAAATTCGAGGTATGCTCGAATTGGGACGAGATCACGCGTCATGAATTCTGAAAGACAAGAATAATAATATTATTTCTTACCATATTTCTGGGTACTTTATCACTAGTGTGATAAATTACCCTTGCAACTTTACATGCAAGTCCTCTTACCTGGTTTCCGTAGGCCTACGATTAATAAATCAGTACGATTTCTAATAAGTCTTCAGTGAATGTCCTGGAGATCACAGAAGATGCTTCCTTAGCGTGATGGACATTTACTTGGGTAATCTTAATGCCTGCAATTTTAATTCTGTTCGAAAAAACGTAGCAATCATTAAGCATTTCTGATACTAGCCAACATAAACTTAGTGTACTTTACCAAAATGTTAGAGGATTAAACACCAAACTTGTAAAACTGTTCAATAATTCCGCCGAATGTAACCACGACCTATTAGCACTGTCAAAAACTTGGTTGAGTTCTTCTGTGTACGACTGAATTATTTTTTGAAAATTATATAGTATTTCGTTCTGACAGAAATTTTAACATTACCAATACTACTAAAGATGAAGGTGTGTTAATTGCTTTAAAGAAAGAATACAATGCATTAAGACTAGATCTTTCTGAGCTGACTACTTCTACTCCTTCTATTGACGTACTTGGTTAAAAATTTCATGGCCGTTTGCACCGACAATTTCTTAAGAGAGGTATAGTTAAGTAACCCTTAAATCATAAGTGACCCTTAAATGCGGAGACGTTGCACCGAACGAATGATTCCTTAACTTTACTAATCCAGCAAACCCCGCATAGAGGCTAGATTTTCTGGTGACTTCTAGGGATTTTTTGTTGATTATCCTTGTAACTTGACGATTTTAACCTAATATTTTTTGGTTCATGGTCTAAAGCGTGCTAGAAGTTTTGTTGATTTTCTACATATTTATATACTGTTTGATTTTGTTCGATAATTTCTAATATTTTTTTTTAAATAATTAAAAAAGGTTAATTTTTTTTCAACGATGGCAACAAAGAAGTTGGTTAATTGGCGAAACACAATTGTTTCTAAAAATAAAAAAAAATCACTTCATATCGACTGGTTGTAAAACATAAACTTAGGTGCCTACCTATCATTAGTGTATTCCAGATCTACTTCTACTTGTTCCAACAGATGTAAAACTGTTTCTCTATAGAGTCTAAACCGTTTTAAAAATGATATTATTCATTTCTTCAAAATAATTTGATCTCTCATGAAGGCGCCTAGGAAATCCGAAATTTATTATCTATTTATTATTTATTTATTATCTATTTATTTAATATCTTGATAGTCGTTAAGCAATTGTAAATTAGCTGGATTCACATAAATTCTTTTCGCAAACAAACACTATTTTAGGTTGTTTCAATACTGGCAATGGGTGGGATCCTTCCACCCTCAAGATCTCAACGAAACAAGTACTTTGTGTCAAATACTTACTAAAGAAGGTATAAAGCCTGTAAATTTGGCCGCTTTAGTAGGAAACCCTTAAGGTTGGAATAAGTGGTACTTAAACATCGGTGCAACGAGTTTCGTATACTTAAGTATTACTTAACCTTAAGCTTCCCTTAAAATTGTCGGTGCAAACGGCCATCAGTCTCGAATAGCAATCTGAATGTAATATTACTTTATATTCCTCCCTTTACTAGTAATGATATATACGATGTCATTTATGATATTTTATGCAAATATGTGTGGTGCAACAATGATGAAGAACTGTTAATATCAGGGGATTTTAATATACCACAATATACCACAAAACAGAGTTTGCAAATTACCGTGGTATATCATTATTACCAGCATTTTCAAAGATATACGAAAAAGCATTCCAAACCATGCTAGTAAAATATATTAACATGTTCAGCATTTTAAATCCTTATCAATTCGGTTTCCAAAAAGGTCTTTCCACTCAAGATGCAACTCTTATATTGTTCAATCATATCCTAGAAAATTTTGATAAAAATAATAAGTGTCTAACTTTATTTTTTGATCTTTCTCGAGCCTTTGAGACAGTCAATCAAGAATTACTTTTACATAAACTTGAGTTGTATGGCATCAGGGGCCCTGCTCTGATGTGGATAAAATCTTTTTTAACTAACAGATCCCAAACAGTTCTATTTAATTCAAATTCTTTAAAAAATCTATCAACTTCTCGAAAAGTCAGTTCCGGTGTACCACAAGGTAGTGTCATAGGTCCTACTCTTTTTCTTCTTTTTATTAACGACTTAGCCAGTTCTAATATTTTTATCACTCAATTTGCTGATGATACATCATTTAGTGTTGTAAGTAAAGATAGGTACTCTTTTGTTACGAGATCAAGCTAACATGGCTGTCGAAATTATGAGTAGTTATTGTTACTACAATGGGCTATTTTTAAATGTTAATAAAACAAATATGCTATTATTTTCCCCAAGAGAGTTAAATTATAGTTTACTGGTCCGCCACAATGGTACATCTATAACTCAAAGTAAATGTGTCAAATTTTTAGGAGTTCATTTTGATTGTAATGTTTCTTGGAATTTTCATGTTGACCATATCACATCTAAATTGGCCACTCACTGTTATATCCTTTGGCAACTAAGACATTTCATTTCAGTAGATATCCTGAAAATGTATTATTTCGCTCAAATTCACTCGATTTTGAATTACTGCATATTATGCTGGGGAAATTGTAATAGAATAAATGACATACTTTTGTTACAAAAAAAGGCTATAAGAACCATTACTTTCAAAAATAGACAATTCTCATGCAGACAACTTTTTAAAGACCTAAGAATTTTAACTGTTATTTCCGTTTATATTTTAAAATGTGTGTTATATGTAAGGTCTAATCATCAGAATTTTCTTTGTAGAGGTGATATTTCTATTAATAGCGGGTACAATTTAAGAAATGCACAAAATCTCTTTATACCTAGACATAAATTAGTTATGGCAAGTAAAGGACCTCTAATTACAGCAATCAAGCTTTACAATAAACTTCCGGATAACATAAAATGCATAAATGATGTTAAAGCTTTCAAAACCCAAGTAACAGAGGTCTTACTAGATCACACTTTTTATAGTGTTGAGGAATACCTCAACTGCAATTTTACTTAAATGTTTTGTTATAATTTCACTTAAATGTTTTAATTTTACTTAAATGTTTTAAATGTATTATTTGTAACGAATTATGTATAAGTTTGTTTTTACTCATACATTTTTGTCTTGTTTGTAAATTTTATGTGACGTTTTCTATACCTATGTATTCAGGTCTACAGAAATAAATGATTATTATTATTATTATTATCATTCTAGTCGTAATGATATTATTTTGAAAAATGCTAGTATAGTTGCACTTGTAAATTTAACCGAATTATTAACTTTAAGACAATATAATAATATCCTAATTTTAATAACCATTTACTCGATTTAATCTTTAATAGATCTGACATCGCTGTAAATTGTTCCCTTGATCTATTAGTCGACGAAGATATCTTACATCTTTTAATAGAATTTCGGTTGTCTTTTCTCAAATAAATACCAGTTTTGCTATGTCCAGTAAATTATGTTATAATTTAAAAAAGGCAAATTTTCCTCAACTCTACCAAAGTATCTGTAGAATTAATTGGAATAGTTTGAATGGATGCGCAACTTCTGAGGAGACTTGTGATTTTATTTTATTGTGTCTTAAATTCCGCAATTGCCGTTAATGTACCAAAAACAGCACCAAGGTGCAAATCAAAATACCCTCCTTGGTTTAATAGAAGTACAATCTCGGATTTGAGTAAAACATCATCTCTTTATCGTTTGTATAAAAGGACACTAGAGGCTGAAATTAATACCGAGTTTAATGTCCTTAGGTCAAAAATTAAACGCGACATTTTAATAAATTACAGAAATTATTTGACAAATATTGAGAATAGAATATCTTTTAATCCCAATTATTTTTGGCAGTATATAAATTCAATGAAAAACTAGTAGTATATCAAATGTTATGAGTTTTGATAATAACCCTTCAAACAATTCACAAG